TTCTTGTAGACTTTCCGCTTCTTTAGTACTATCGTAAAGATGTTCGACAAGCTGGTTACATTCTTCATCGGTGTTGTCGATGGCAGATTGTTCCCATAAACTGGAAAAGGGAAGCGAAGCAATTCTAATTGATGACGGCCGTGAGCCTTCATTTGCTGAACTCCCCAGCTCTCTTTCTCGCATTGAAAAACACAATCTATCCTCGCATTGAAAAATACAGTCAAGCATGGAAGAGACGATGATTCGATCACGTGAAGAACTTCGGAACATCACGCTATTCCAGGGTGAATAAGGGGCTCATTTATTGTGAGCGCTCTCGTATTGTTTCCCAGTCACTCGGATGCAAGGTCATGCCTGAGCCGATATGCAGTACACCAACCGCTCCGTAGTTTCTCAACTACGTGTGCGAGGATACACCTAAGAGGAGAACGAATGTATAAATCGACCCTGCTCAGCAGAAGTAGGGAGTTTCCTAGAATTACCAGTAAATCTTGTTCTGGACTTACTCCTCTATGCGCTACCTGGGTCGATAACGTCCATTAACGTCGTCGGTGAGCGGCTAGAGATCCTTCATTGAGAAGAGCCCTTAGTAAGGAAAATTCGTGATCAGTTTAGTACGCTTTATTACTTCCCCTTACAAAGATATGGTTGCTAATGCAGTAAACCTATTGACCTTCATGCTCTCGCGAGTGAATCGGGCCGTTTTATTTGGGCAGTGATGAAGCTTACTACTCTTCGATTTTTAGAAGTCCTCTAGCCAGTTGGTAGGTAGACGGTCTACAGGTTGGCAGTTGTTCTGCTATACGAAAGCCTCCCCAAAGAGTGCTGGCGTTCATTTGCTTTGTAAGCAAGCGCATTGACGAAACACGATCTTTGTTCAGCGGACAAGTCGGTGTAAAAGTGTAGAAAAAGCACCAAATACTTTGGGCAGCTGTTTCACTACTGGCATTAAAAGGTTTAGTTTTGTGCATAGCAGTGCTGCACACATTTGCTTACTCCTTTTCGAACACCCGATTTAGTCTTCATTTTTGAGATCTATTTTTTGTGAGGACAGCGTGGTTTCCTGACTTGCAGGTTTTGTATCACCTTGCTTCCTTCGCCATTGTTTTCTTTTGACAAGAAATTACCTAATTCTCGCTTATTTTTGGTTGGTCACTCAATTTTGACTTAATCCGAAAATGTTTTGCCTCTGAGACACTGGCTAACATTACATTCTTGAGTATGTATACGGGAAACACGCATAAAATGTTCTCATTGATCTCTTTGCGGCGTTTTTGTAGAACCCATAACCACTCTGAGGCGAATGTCGCCAAGGTTGAGTGGAACTGCATTTACTGGAACTTGACCTAATACTTGTGTAATCAGTCAGATCTGTAGCTGGTAGAGTAGAACAGCGTCATAAATATAGCACTTCTTCAGAGCTTAACGGGAGCGCGGAGCTCTCATGTATGGCGTCGCTAGGAGCAACACGCTGGAGTTCTACGTTCTCCGATGTGCAGCGAGAATGCCGTTGAAGCCCTCAGACCCGGTCTTAAACTACTCTCTAAAACGTGGTTCACTATCCACTGCATCCCCCTTGATCCAACCCCTTATGTACTTTTTTCTTCGAAATTCTCCATGCTTGTTGTTGCCGCATGTATTATCTTCAAAGGTCGGGATTTCCAACTAGATTTTACTTTTGAATTTATTTGCAGATGAACTCAAACTTCTTACGCCGTTTACGAACTGCTAAATCGTTAAACGCTGTACTTACTGGTAAGTTCTTTTCTGGTACGGCTTATGGATTCTATCGCTGATCCCACTAATGCATAATCTTTTTCTTTGACAGATCGGTTGGGCGGTCGTCAATCAAAAAAACTTGTCATAGATTATTCTAGTCCGAATATTGCAAAGCAGTTTCATATAGGAAATCTACGATCCACATTAATTGGCAGATATCTTGATAAGGTCAGTTGTTCATTCAGACAATGCGGAGTAGATTATTTGGTTTTGTAGCTTACCTAATTCGAATAGCTTTCTTTCATTGTTTGTCAGATCACTGCTTAATGGTCGTTTATTTGATTAACGATCGGCGCGGTTTCTTCTGGGTTGACTTTAGAACCAGGTTCAACCTTGCTGCTCCCTGTCTCATGTATGCAGTCGCGAAACCGCCAAAAGTTTGTTCCATAAAAGAAACCGAGTGAAAAGGTTTGGGACTAGTTTAAGAAGAGAACGGAGAACAGACATGGTTGAAAAATCTCCAGAAACTGTCAGTTGTTCAGGACCAATCACTGCTACAAGGAAGTACTAAACATTTTAAAGGATCATGAGGTTAAAAAATATTCGTAGTTTGTCGATTATCAATTAGTAGACTATTTCAGCTGTTATTTTTACGTAATGAAGCTTTCAGGTTCATCGTGCTATTGGTGATGACGTGACCACAGTGAATTACCTCGGTGATTGGGGTACACAATTTGCAATGATTTCTACATACTGGCCGCAGGTGAGCCCGAATTAGTTGAGTTGAGCCTTAGACTTTGAAGGTGCTTCCTTGCACAAGGACCACATCAAAAATCGAGGTCCAGTCGGACTTTTGATGCCAAAACACTTCTTGCTCATTCACTATTTGCTCTTCTCTTCTGGAACCCGGTTCGAGAGGCAATGGTTTTTCAAGGAATCAATCAGAAATTATAAGTTGCATATGGAATTTCTGGACTATCCTTCGTGTTAAGTATCAGATGTGATGTGCTAGCGATTCGCTTTGATGCTAAGAGCATTTTCAAAGTAAGTTGAGCAGGAAACCCCAACAAGCCAACCCTCATGTACCAAATCCCAATGAATATGACTTCCTTCTTGAGCCCTTGTGCGGATTTTGTGAGGATTAGGTTGATTGATGCAGTAGTGTGACTAGGTCTCTCTTCCCCGAGTTTTTCGAAGTGCTGACCAATAGCTGTGATTGCGGAATAATCATTGGATTCCAGAAGACGTTCTAAATTATTGCGAAGGTTATGTGTGTTGATGTAAATAGCCTACTTGAACGAATTCAATCCCTCTCGTGTAATGGTTTATATAATAAAAAAATCATCGGAAAAGCCAGATTTAGCCAGTGCAGTAGGTATCGACAAGCAGCATGTTCTGTCAAACAGCATGGAAAAGTTGAGCTTTCTTGGAATATGAAATTCTACTTCTTTACTTCATTTTTCGACAGTTGACAAGAAGGGAGCATATAGAGCTGTCCGACCTGGACCCTTTCAAAATTGTACGTCATCCTATAGGCATGATGCACTCCAGAGGCATCCATTGACGCTAACATTCGCTGCCTTCTTTTTCTGGATGCTGCTCTGATGTATTTCACGCAAGGTACTCACGCTTACTGAAAATCATGGCGTATTAGCGGCGAAATAACTCACTAGGAAAGCAGAATGGGCATTATTCGTGGTAAGACCACCAACCGAGAGTCGTTGCTAGCTGTTAGCAGATTGGGCAATTGGTTCAATACTATTCATGAAGTTCCACATCGTACAAATGATTTTTCAAGCTTTCTTATTTCAAGGTGCGGCCATCGGATTCATATTGGAATTCATGTGGTGATGTTGACAAAATTCGAGCCCTAACTGATTGCTACGTTGTTGCAAACAGAAAAGGGAAGGTGGATGAGAATTTCAGGGAGAAGGTTCGCGAAACATACGCAGAAATGGAGAACAGCATAGCCACGTATGTGCCACTCATATTCAAAGTCACGAAGGAACTAGGAAATGTAATTTTTACAGAGGAGACTTATCCTCTCCAACTATGCAACTGTGGCGGGACATTCGGGAGCTTTCCGAACGGCATTTGAACCATTTCTACTCCATGTTGAACATTGAATTCGATAGGTTTGCTTTGAGATTTAATTCTTTCTCATAACTACATATTCTGAATCTGTTCGCACGATTTAGCTTCCCTTACGTATAATCTTGTACAGGTGGCAATATGAGTCTTCATATGTTAATGATGCTCGCTGTTTGGTTGCTGACATGGTGAAGAATAAGGTAGCTCGCCAAACTGCAAATGGATTATTGGTTGTGGATTTTCCTGGTGATGAACTTGAGGAGTATGCGGTTGTAAGAAAGAGTGACTCTACTACGATATATTTATCCAGGTTAACATAGACACTACAATTCAAGTAGTATTTTTCTAAATGAGTGCGGTTTTCCGGCCACTGTATGCCAGCACATGTTGAGTTTTGTCAGTGCGCACGGTGGTCTCTTGACTGAATTGATCTTACAACAACTTACCAGGGAGCTACTGTTTACTTACCATGGAACTTAGAATGGAGACCCAGGTGAATGATGAATAGAGCTGGCTCTGCCATATCACTACCTTTATCGTACTCTTAAAGTTCAACGGACAGACAGACAGACAGGGTGGGTGAGTCAGTAGAATATTCATCTCACCAGTCGGATGGCCCAGCTGATGCCGGGCTCTTCTCTTCTTGGGGCAAAGGTACTTCGCCCGAAAAACATCGCATTGGTGAAATTGTTTCTCTTTTTTCGTAGGTTATCTCGCTGTTTTGCTAGGCGACAGTATAGATATCAAATATCTTCACAGATGTAGCTCCTTTTCTCCACGGATACATCATTAAATGTGTATCCAACATTATTAGCGTTCGGATAAGTCTTGCCAAGAATGATATCAAAGCAGAGAGAAACCGTGATCTTTCGCATAATCGCAAACTTTGCTGGGTAGTGGTCGTAATCTAATAGTCACACCATTTAACCCTTCTTGTCAAATGAAACATATCAAAAAGTCAGAGCTAGACCGTAAATAACAAAGGCGCTAGGATTCAATGATGAGTGGGTCTATTTCTCTAAGGCCTCTTCCATTGTCAGGGTTCCCATCCTGCATCCTCCTTTTGATTTTATTCTCCAAGTCCACGGGATCAGGAGTTCTGGATTTCCTCTCAGACATTTATTTCGCGGAAACCCCGTCCTTTGGGGCGGAGTCCTACTCTACTACTCACCATAAGTGTTCCTATACTGCCGCCTGCCTCCTATCAATTTTGAACGCTCTAGAGCCAAACTGAAAATTTTGGCGCAAACCTCGCCTTTTATGGGCGGGGTCCGGTCCTCCCACCTACGATGAGTGTACCCATCCTGCCGCATGTACTCCTGCCAAGTTTGAATGCCCTAGGGCCAAATCGACAATTTCGGTGCAACACCCCGCCCTTTGTGGAAGGAGTCTGGTCTTGCCACCCACCATACATGTTCCCATCGTGCCTCCGGTAATCCTGCCAAGTTTAAACGCTCTAGGTCCACGGAGACATGAGTTGTAATTTTTTCGCTCAAACATTTATTTCGCATAAACCCCACCGTCTAAGGACGGAGTCTGGTCCTGCTACCTACCATAAGTGTTCCCATCCTGCCCCCGTTCTCCCACCTAGTTTAAACGCTCTAGGTCCACGGGGACAGGAGTTATGAATTTCCGGACGGACGCACACACCGACACACACAAACAAACACACAGATTAGCGAACTATATGAAGTAATATTATTTGCATAGACATACACAGCACGGTGCCAGTGCAGATCGAAATCACAGTTTTGAAGTGTCCACTTAATTCCACGTTACTCACTTCACTCAGAAGTATTCACACGACTCCATTAACCTACCCACCATGTTACGGCTTTATATATAGGAAGGAAATGCATGATAGAGCTGGGTTGTTCATATCACTACCTGTACCGTAATCAAAAATTTTGCGGACGGACAGACCGAAAAACCGACAAACCGGCAAACCGGCACACCAAGTTACTGCTCTATAAAAGACCTGTCGGGTCGCCCGGTTTACGCCGGGCCTCATTCTATACTAAAAATGTAGTTAGAGGTTTGAGAGGGCATCGCTTTCATTCAACGCTGAGGGCTTAAGTGCAGAGAAGGGTGAATAGCCGAATTACATGTGCTTCGAGTCGAGTCGGTTATAGGTGAAAGAATATAGTTTTTACCCAAGCATCACGAGGGGAGGAGCGCCGGGATGGGGGTGCAATGATCATCTCGTGCAAAAAGGTAGGATACTAAGCTCACCCACACCGGTGCTACCATTCCTCCTGGAGCTCACTTCAAAAACTGAACGTTATACGGAGAAGAAACGTTCCTGAGCACAATTATTGGCTATTATCTGCGCTCTAACGCTTAATGTAGAAAAAAAGAAAAGGTCTCCAAACCACATTCTAATCTGTTTTGTAAGACATACATAGCGCGATGCCAGTAGAGATCAGAATCTTAGTTTTGAAGTGACCACTCCAGTCAGCATCACTCATTTCACTTTCCACTCCATTAACCTACCCACCAAGTTACAGCCTTATATATAAAAAGTAAGTGTAGAATAGAGCTGTTTCCCATATCACTACCTTCATCGTAATCAATCACCTTTATCGTAAGTTTCGCGGACGGAACACCGACAAACCGACATAACGACATACCGACACAGCGACAAACCAACTTACTGCTTTATATATAAGAGAGATATCCCATCCTAACGTTTTGCATGATCAAGTTCTGCAATCGCCTCAACCCAACCCTGGCGCTCCTTTCCTCCCGAGGCTTAGGTGAAAACTGTATTCTTCCGCCTGAAAGCGTCTTTAAGCACTAGCAAAGTCGGCCAGCCCTTCTCTGTACTCTAGCTCAGTGTTGGAAAAAGCGATGCAAAAAAGGAAAAAAAAGTGAAGAAGAAAAGTGCAAAAGTCCTCCCCGACTACATTTCCTAACTTCATGGTAGGATTAAGGAATGAGGCCCGGCTTAAGCGTCCGTTGATCAACGCTAACTGTTGGATAGGAGGATAACGTTTTCATCTGTGCTGCCTTCAAGTAATAGAGTGGGAAGCAAAGTAGTGTCACTTGCACAATGTTCTTATTTTTTCAGAGAGCTGGCATCCATTCTGAACCGCGACGAGCTCTTTCATGCAGATCGATACCTTTACGTTGTCGATCGAGCACAACGAAGGCATTTCGAAGCTCTGAAAATGATTTTGAGAAGGATTGGGAAAGAGTCTCTTGCAGAAAAGGTTGAGCACGTGCCCTATGGACGAGTGAAAGGGTTGTCAACAAGGTAATACCATGCTTAAAAAAGTTAATAAACTTCTATGTGTGCTACACCTTAAGGCTTCATTTCGAATCGGAGATTTTTTGAATGTATGTGTCACTAAAATGTTGCGAGGTTGGCTTATCTAATTTTCGCATCTGAAATAGCTTGATGCAGTAAGAAACGTGATACCGAACATATTCAAAGGGATAGCAGAGTATGAATTTTGGACATGAATGCACTTCAATACCAAGTTGAATATTGTAATCAAATAAGTAGAACTTATGGGGAAATAGAAGGAATATGGAAAGTAAGCGCGTGAGGAAACGCGTGGGGCCCTAAAGGCACCGTTAGCAATAAATTTAGGGGACCCTTTTTTGACGGGAATTGATAGAACTACTCTAGAATAAAGCGATAACAACGAAAAAAGCGCAAAAAACGATGAACAAAAAGAATTACGAAGGGTCAAAAAAAAGCTAGAAAAGGGGGTTGGACGCGTTACACATTG